ACAATGAAATTAAATATAAAAATAATAGCCCTTAATTCACGTTGTCGGCCAACCCCAATTTCAATGCAGACTGAGGCGCAACAACATATTTCAATCGAAATTGAAAAGCTTAATACCATGCACGCTAATAATGGTTAAGTAAGATGCTATATAAGCAATGAGTATAAATTAACGCTAATAATGGTTAAGTAAGATCAATGAGTATAAATTTTCTATCTTACACACTCTTTCAAAAATCCTTCACATTAATTTAAAGCTTAAGAAAAACAATATTATCTAGTAACCAACTCACTCAAGACTAGCAAAAATGCATTAAAGGGGAAAAATGTAGGGAGCCTCTATTTCATCCATCATTTTTTTTTATATCTATCCCCTTAAAAAAAAATTAAATTAAATCTATATTATGTTTTTAACCTTATGTAAATTTACTAAAATAGACAAAAATAAATTTTTGAATATATATATATATATTTGATGATACACAAATCTAAGTACAAATGCTGACATCTTGCAGCAAGAGCCAATTTCTATTATGAAAAGCTCGTTCAGCTACTGGCATTACATCAAGATTTGTATAATGCATGCCTCTCGTGGGCCGATAGTTACTGTCGAGAACTTGCAAAGAACTATCATTCCTTCGATACTCATCCTCGATCCCGCCCTTATGTTTTGAAGATAACAGTCAATTTGATGGAGGGAATGCTTGCGAAACCATAGATTCTGATGCTGAGAGTTCACTGTCATTCAAGTCACCTTCGTTGGGAGTTAGTTAGATAAATCCTGATGTGATCATAGCAGAACATTGACTGTAGGTTCAATCTGTACGAGCTTAGCATAGCAGAGAACCGGTGAAGTGAATCAGTGAGAAAGATAGAGCAAAATTTGCTGGATGTACTAGAATTAGAAGGCTAATTCTTCCGAACGATAAAAGGGTTGGCTTCCAAATCCTTGTTTCTGAAGAGAAAGGCCTCTCGGCTTGCTCGGTGTGTGTTGAAGATGAGTGAGGATGACATGGTGTACATGCTGAGTCAGAAAATCGAGGATCTTCAAAAGCAAATATATGTGTTGGAGAAGAGAAACAAGGAGTAACAAGAGTATTTTGTTAAACAAGACAACACGAGCAAGAATGGTCGGGGTGGAAAATGTTGTAACTTAAGAATAAAAGATTTACCCTTTCAAATTAAAACCTTTTAATTTTCTATTTTGATTTTAATTTTCAGTTTAATACAAAATTGAAACTAATAATTCCTAATGTGTAACTTACATTTTAATTGGTTTAATATTCATGATTGTATGGGTTAAATTTATCCCTAAAAAAGGGGAGTGATTTTCATTGAGATATACACATGAGAAAACATAACATGAAAAAATTCTATATCTACATTTCATACTATTTTCCTATATTTTGGCAACTTGATGAAGATTCCTTCTTTATCTCTCTGTGATCGTGTCCATAGAAGGAGAACTAGACGTGAGCTATATGAGTTTTATCTTGGAGCCGTTTGAGTCAAAAGTTCCCGTGTGAAGGAGAAACAACACGATTTTAAGACAGCGTTCTTGACGTGACTTCCTGAGGTTTGCTTTTCTAATTCTCTACTTATATTTTATGTTCTTGTTGAATTCTTATGTTTATGATTATTTAAATTATATTTATTAATATTATGTTTATGTTATTTAATTGATTATGTTTATTGATAAATATCTACACACGAATCACATATTTTTGTCTACAGAAATTAGGTGAGTTTGGAAGACTACCATCGGGTTCGTCATGGTGGTAGTGCTCGTTTGAGA